ACTATCTCTGGGAGGGGTGTGGGATGCTCGCCACTGGGCAAGGGAACATAGGTGGGAGCCTTCGCTCACTTTCTTGCATGTGGGCTGTGGGCATGGACAGACCTGGCTTCCTCACTCTGTGACTCCATGACCTTTCCTCTTTAGTGTCAGTATCATGTGCCAGGTTTTGAAGGCTGGAAATGCATGGTGCATGGTGTAGGGTCTGGATCTGCACCCCAGCTGGATGCGTAGGGTCTGGGGTGATTGGCCTCTTGGAGTTTCAGTTTCCTTAGTTGTAAAATGGGATGTCTTATTCTATCTCCTAAGATTATTATGCAAATTACAGATGTCAACTGGATTGCTCCCTCCTGCCTCAGCTTTTCTCTGCCTAGAATGTTTTTCCCTTCCTGGTTGCCTAGGTAGCTCTCATTCATGCTTCAGAAGATCTGGGCTCAGTGTCACTTCCTCCAGAAAGCCCTCCTTGTTCCTGAGTTCCAGACAGATTCCCACACTGTGGAATCCTGGTCTCTTCTTCTGTGTTACTTAGCGGTATGCGAGTCTCTATTTAGAGACGGCACCTCCAGTAGACTGTGAACTCCATGAGGGCAGGGGTTGTGTCTGCTTCATTCCCCATCATATCCTTGTACCCAGCCTAGGACCCAGAACCTCAAAGGCAATGGGGGAGTATTGGCTAAGTAAAAAACAAATTTGAAGAGCCTCATGCCAAGTTAGGATCCCCAAAATACCAGATCTTATTAAATGTGGCCCCCAGAGGCCATGTAACCACTCCTCACTTCAGGCCATCATTGGGACGTTATATTGCCAGGAAGCTCGGCATCAGTCCATGCCAGTCCGCCTGCCCTGAGGAAGTGCCCGCCCATGCTGCACTTTGCTGTCCTCTCAGCCCCTGCTGCAGAGAGGGCAGAAGAAGAGCCAGGTGAGGTGTGCCTGAGGCCTGAGCCACCTGTCCTGGTCCCTGTCTGCAGGTCAGCCCTGTGTGCCAGGCCTCCTGGGATCCCTTGCTGGCAGGAGGGCAGATGGGAAGTCCAGCTCTACACATGGCTGGCTGGCTTGCTCGCTGGATGCCAGGCCTTGGCTGTCCCTAAGCCCACAGCTAACAGGGTGGGTCTGTGCTCACCAAGGTCACTGTGCTCAGCCTCTGAGCACACCGAGATCATCATCTGTACTCCCCACACTGTGTCGGACTCTGAATCTACTTCTAATCACAAATGCGATGCTCAAGTCCCATTATCAGGTCATCCAGTTCCTGTGTCTTCTATCTCACTCCTCTGGGCCTCAGTTTCTTCATCTGTTAAATGGGAATGTGAACCTCATGAGATGGCTGGGATTTTGAGGATTCAGTGGAACAACTAGCCCCCGTGGCACTTTACAGTATGTAAAGGCCTGTCCCATCTGTTTTCCTGACAGAAGGCAGAGCTCCTTCTCTGTTGGAGCTGGAGATGCTGGGCACTGGGAAGATGAGATACTCACACAAGGAAGCTCGGAGCGCCGTGGCGTGGGCGCAGCTCAGGCAGGCATGGGCAGCACTCGTGTGGATGCGATGTATGTGGCGGGGCCTTTGTGATACAGCCCAGTGCTGGTACCATGGTTTGGAGTGGACAGACAACGGACTGCAAATACTGCCGAATTCTCGGAGGGTGCAGTGTCTGCAGCAGCAGTCTCTGCAAGGCCACAGCTTACCTGGCCTTCTCAAATCAGTCACTAGTGTCTAGGGGGTCCCCAAGCACTGAGGATGACCAGCCTTGGAAATCCTTTGCTCTGGGGCCTGTTCTACTCAGGCAAGGTCCTGCATGACCTGAGCTGGACACACTCATGTGGGGACACACCTGCCTGTCTGCTCACATGTGCACGCACGTGCATACATACAGTACTGTAGATTGACCCCCTCATTTGCATGGACCTGAGCGCTCATGTCTTTTTCTATGTAGGACACATGGAAAAATGATTCTCGGGCAACTTCCAGGAAGAATATTCTATCTAGTTCCCTCTCACCTCCCACTTCCTCCATTTTACAAACTGGGAAACTGAGGCCAGAGAGGTTAAATGGTTTGCCCAGGGTCCCACAGCAGGAGCAGCAAGTGTGACACCAGGATGTCCTAACCTGTGTCTGGGACTTCCCAGCCAGGTGACTTCTGTTTTGCCAGGGGAGTGTGTTACAGGCAGCTCTCCTCAGCTCAGCAACCCCATTTTAAAGACGGGCAAAACTGACCTGGCCATGATCTCATCCAAAGGGCACCCGCATCTCAGAGCATGCAGAGTCGAGACTCACAGGCTCCGAGAGGGAGCCCTGGGCTGTGGGTTTTGCCCCACCTTGCTGGGAACTTCCAGGGGTGTAGCTGCTGCCGGGAGGGGGCATTCAGACTGTAACTTACAAATAAAAAGGGAATTTAATACACAGGGTTCCATGCAGGAGCCCTGGATCAGCCTTTCCCTGCAGCCATCCACCTGAGGCTACCTGCCCCAAGGGCCCTGCCCACCAGCTTGGGGCCCCATGTGGCTGGCCAGCACCCCTGCCTGGGCTGCCTCCCTGCCCTGCCCCCAGTGCTGCTGACACAGACTCCTTCCTGGCCTCTCACCTCCACAGCCCTCTCCAGCCCTCCCGCTGGCCGGCTACAGTAACAAGATGCCCTTTGTGTGTGCCGGCGGGGGAGGGGGCTGCGGGCAGGCTCCTGCGAGGCTCCTTGCTGCTGAGTCACAGCTCCCCGCTGGGCTCTGGGAACGGAGTCGCAGGTGACTGGCCAGACGGCACAGAGCCCAAGACCTTGGAGATGACCTCAAACAACCCCTTCTTTGCACAGGAGGGGACATTGAGGCTCAGAGAGGAGAAGGGGCTGCTGCATGCTTTTCTGGGGGCAAGCATCAACATTGGGCACCTCTTCCTGCAGATTTGGGGCTCTCAGGCTGGTCCTTTGGTCACAATAGAGTCCCACTTCTCCCCAGAACAGCCCGAGTGTGTCTGTGTGTCCATGTGCATGTGCATGCATGCTCACTCGTGTCTGTGTTCACGTGTGAGCATCAAGGGTGCAACCGTGAGTGTGTGCTTGCTTGAGTCTGTGTGTGTGTTTGCCTTTCTAGGGTCCCTCATACCTTCTCCCAGAGACACACAGGCCTGTCATCCATGGCATAGCTCCTTTCACCTGCTTCTTAGCGCTTACCTGGGCTGCTTCTTGCCCACTGCAGGAGGCAGCAGCCCAGGCAGGTGAGTGCCTGTGATGGGCAGCTCATTACCTGACAAGTCATCCCCAGAAACCTAAGGTAGGGTGTCTCTCTGCCCAACTGCACTGTGCTGTGTGGGACTCACCAGTGGGGGCCCAGCCAGAAGTGTGTAGTGCTTAGGAACGTGAGCTCTGGAGATAGGCTGCCGGGGTTTGAATCCTGGCCCTGCCATTTCCTAGCTGTGTAACTTGGGCAAGTTTACTTTTCTTCTCAGAGCCTCTATTTTCTCATCTGTAAAATGGGGATAATAACAGCCTTACCTCACAGAGTTATCACAGGGATTGAGTTTGTAGCTGCAAAGATCTTAAAATAGTGTGCAGGCTCGTAAGGAATATTAGCTATTATTATTACTGTTATAACTGTAATTGTTCTTCAATGTGACCCCAAGGGAGCACACTGGAGATGCAAGGGCCTGAAGTGTTTCAAGTCTCTGGCAGCATGAGAGGCTCAATTCCTTTGGTCACTGACCAGCAGACAGCGAAGGGGCAGGGGAGACTCTCCCAAGAGGGAGTTGTCTGTTCTGGGCTGTGCCGCCATCGACTGGAGCCACCTTTGACAGTAATCCCCAGGAGAGGTCTGCACCATTGGAAGTGACCCTTGCCTCTGTGCACGCTTACTTTCTGGGCCGCTCAGCCCGAGCAGTGGCCAGGCCCTGGAAGGCAGGGCAGGGCGGCCGGACAGTGGAGCTGGTGCTCCTCCCTCTCCGATGGGCCTTGGCGGGCGGCGGGCTTCCTGTTGCTGCTGCTGTGATGCCCCACCTAATGCCGGGGATGGCCATCTGGGCCCGAGGACTCAGAGAGGGGGCCCGCTGGCCATCTGCCTGCTTGGCGCAGGCTGCTTCCGAAGGGCAGCAGGGCGCCTGCCCGCAGGAGCTGAGGCTGCAGGAGGAGGCCTGGGGGCCGGTTCTCTGGCCTGGGCAGCCTGTCAGGCGCAAGCTGCTTCGAGGAGCCTGATCCCCAGGGCTTCCTGCCCTAATTCTCCCCGCACATGTGCACAGGAAGCCTGGCTGTGGTACCTGCCGGGTGAGCTCAGGGAAGTCCCCTGTCCCCAGCTGCAGTCTTTCCATCTGTACAGTGGGCAGGCTGAACTCTAGTGCCCAGACTTCCATTCAGTTGGTGCTGCCTCTGGGCCTTGGGGCTGACTGGGGGTCCATTTTAAGGGGTATAGGAGGGTTTCCCAAATATGACCTATCCTCCCAGGTCTGACCCTGGGGGCCGGCTCTCCAGCCAACCATGGAATTCCTAAATCACCAGCTGCAGGTTAGGTCCAGAGCAGGCATTTTCTTGCTCAGAGATAGCCCAGCCCTGGTTCCTTGCATGGTGGGTGCAGGGTGACAAGACACTGCAGAGTGCCTCTCCAGACAGGTGAAGGCTGGCAAGGTTGGAGGAGGCAACGTCTCACTCACTCAGCAGTTTACTGAGCACTGACACTATGCCCGATGCTGTGCCTGGTCCTGGGACATGATGGTGACCTGCCCTTTAGAGTGTAATACATCCTAGGGTGGGTGACCTAGCAGGGAGCTTAGCCTGGCCCAGGGGGCCTGAAAAATACCTCTGAGACATGACACCTGAGACACATCTGAAGGAAATTGAAGGAAAAGTTGGAGTGAGCCAGGTGTTTACTCTCCATGGTCACCTATGAGATAGGTAGCTGCTATCCCTACTTGATGGATGAGGAAAGTGATTCTCAGACAAATCAATATAGAAGCAGCTCTCCTATGGTCACTGAGTAAGTGGCAGAGCTGGGATCTGAACCCTTCCTTGTCTGACTTCAAATTCCACCAGGCCCTGACATTCTCCAGCTTCCATGGTGTTCCTGCAATCCAAGTGCCGCTGACCTCTCTGCAGGTGAGGTTAGGGGTTGGGAGGATGTCCTGAGCAGGGGGCACCAGCTTCTCTGGCTGCAGGAGGGGAGGGAGGGGGCGGGCGGCTGCCCTGGGTGCCCTTTCCCTTCTGTCCAGGCCTGGAAGAAAGCCATGCTTCTGACTCCAGGAAGTGCTTCGGTAGAGCTGGGTGGGCCTCTGACCTCTATTTGTGGCATGAGGCTGGGCTGTGTTTGGCCATCTAGAATGGGAGCCACTGGCCTGAGGTGACACAGATAAGTGGGAGCCAGGAGAACCAGTCCTGGTTCACTGTGGAGCACCCCGACCCTGCTCCCCTGCAGCAGGCTCGGCCATAAGGCATTGCCAGCCTAGCCCCATGGTTTCTTTTGCTGGAATAAATTCAGTGGAAGGACCTGTCTAAAGGCATCACAGGCCCTGCCCCATAGAGAGTCCTTGTCACTTACATGCTCCAAGAGGGCTCAGAACTCAGGGACTTCCTCCCCTACCTCTTTCCTTGTCTGGAGCTGGCATTAGGTCTCACATTTTCCAGACCCATGGAGAGCATTTGCTCCCCAAGATGGCTGGGCAGAACCTCAATAGGTATTCCATGCAAGTGCTCATGGCTGAAACCCAACTCTTGATTTCTCCCTGAGACCGTCTCTGTGAATGTCCTTACCATCATCCTGAGCCACTCCTGGCCTCCTGCTAACAACCAAATCTATTGATTACCCAGATCCCTAATGTCTCCATGTCACGCCACTTCCACTGTCATCGTTCCTGTCTGCATCCTTGTCATCTGTCCACAGATGACCGATTGGCCTCCTAACTGGGCTTCCCGCATTCCCACCTGTGCCCCAGCTTCCTTCTCCACTTGTCTGCCGGAGGAGATTGACAAACAAAATCAGATCGCGGCACTACAGGGGGCCCTACATCCTTCGGCCAGCAGGCAGGGCTTCTGTGACCTGGCCCTGGCCACCTTCGGCCTCCCGTCCTCCCATTCCTTCCTGGCCCCACTGTGCCTTGATGTCCCTGCCTTCCTTTCTGCTCCATGACTTCCTGCCAGTTCCCATCACCGGCCTTTGCAGGGTGTTTCTGTTGCTGGAATTCTCTGCCCCGGGTCTCTGTGTGCTTAGCTCCCTTTCTGTACACTCAGTCAAGGTCTAATGTTGCCCACCCACCAACATCCTGCATTCACTCTCCATCCCATTACCTTGCTGTACTTTCTCCAGAGTACTACATTGTGCTCCCCACTACCCCAACTAGAATGTAAGCTCCAAGATGCAAAGGCATTTCCTGTTTCATCCATTCTGCTTCGCAGAGCCCAGGCTGGAGCTGAGAAGGTGCTCAAGGAATGTTTGTCGCATGAGCCAGTTTCATAGTGCTCCAGGCTCCCAAGTGGAAAGATCCTTGGTCTTTTCTTTACCAAATCTTAGAAACTCCCCCGCACCCCAGACACTTCCTGGTCAGCCCCTGGTCAGTGTACCTGGTGCTTCTTGTGACATGACATCTACTTCTCAGTGACTTCCCCTGATTCTGGCCCAGCTCCTGAAGCCTGACACCTCTGCAGGGAGTCTATCAGGTATTTGAAGAGTGCTTCTTAATGCAAGAAGACTGAGAGATGCAGGGTCACAAGTCACGGGTTCAAGTTCTGACTCTTCCATTTCTCCATGGTCAGCTATAAGTCGTTGAGGCCTCTGGCCCTCGACTTCGCCTCTGGAAATGCTGGGAACAAGACCCCTCCGGGCTTCACTAGGGTGGGACGAAATGCTGGCCAGTGTGGCCAGCCTGGTGCCTGGCTCGTCCTGTGCTTAACAAGTGCTGTTTGAGTTTGGGGAAAAAGTCTCCACGATCCTTCATTATCCCAGGGCATTGAGGCCCTTGTGCTCTGCCAGGTATCTCTGCTCCCTCTGCCTGGGGGCATGTTCCAAATCAGAAAAACAGAGAGGAAAAGAGCAGCCCTGCTCAGGTGGGGCTGGGTGGTGGAAGGGAGGTGGGATGCGGATGGTGTGCCACGCAATCCCACCGTGATTTATAGTGTTTTGTGTTTTGGAAAACATTGCAGTGCAAGGTTGCCCAAGGTCAGTGCCTCTGTTCTTCGATCTCTTTATGAAAAGGGAGAAGAGAAAGTGGGCACTGCTTCCAGTTTTTTAAGGAGTTGGCCAAGAGCCAGCACTAGGCATCAGAGGAAGGCAGCTGACTGCATTCGGCCACATCCCAATAGTGCCTGGAAGGGGAGGGAGGAAGCAGGCACTTCTGAAGGAACTACTGTGCGCCAGGCCTCATGCTAGGAGCACTGTAATAGGGAGCAGTGATGGGGTCCTTGAGGTATGGCAGACATTGTTCTAAGCACTCTATGTAGAGGGACTCATTTCATGAATTTAATTCTCTCTACCTCTATGAACATGTATTACTGTTCCCATTTTATAGATGGGTTAGCTGAGGCACAGGAAACCAAAATAACACATCCGGGGGCCCACAGCCAGCACGGATGTTATATAATCCCTGCCCCACAACTACTTGGAAATAAGGATAGTTATTACCACCATTTTATCCATGAGAACATAGAGGCCTGGAGGGGTTAAGCAGCTCGTTGAAGATCATGCAGAAAAAGGACACGGCAGACCTGGGATTTGAACTCCAGTCTGAGTGACTGCAAAGCAGTGCAGCATCCTGTGCTGTGTAACTTGGCTGGTCTCCTCGCCTTTTCTTATTTCCCCTGAAATGGATGGGCTGGGGGCTGGACACATGGCTGCTGGCAGTCTTCGAAGATTGTGAGGGATGGTGGGAGCTAAGCCAGCCCAGAGCTGCTGTGGGCCCCTCTGCTAATGGTGCCTTAGGCTTTATGTAGAGGCCAGTGTTTCCAACACAGACCTAGAGGAAGAATCTCAAATCCCTGGTAAACCTCCCCATTGAGCCACCTTCCTTGTTGTCAGAGGGATGTCAGAGAAGATTCAGATAAAGAGGTAATGTCTGGGCCTTACCAACCCAGAACAGACCCTCACACACTGCAGGATGGAGTCGGAGGGGGAGAAGTTTCTGGGTTGGAGCCAGAGCCTATGGAGGACCAGGCGCGAGTTGGCCCAGCATGCTGGCCCATATCCAACCTGCAACCCCCTCTCCCTGTCTTCCTCAGCACCCTCCTTCTCTGCTCTCCCCACCACCATCAGAGCCTGCTCCCAGGAAAGGCTGGGAAGTTTTTAGAACCTGGCAATCCATGGAAGTCAGAGTCCTGATCTCTTTGTGATGATCTCCAAGGGCCTACTGTGTCTCTGTCACTGTAGGAACAGCTCAGCTTTGAGGGTCCAGAGAGTGGGCTCTCTGCACCAATTATTGTGGCTCCAACTATGATTATCTTAGGAGATATGGCGACATCCTAGGCTTCGCTTTCCTCATCTATACCTGTGCTGACAGATGGGGACCAGATGGGGCGATGGATAAGAATGCACTCTAAACACGGTCAAGCCTTGGCTGGTTGCCCACAGTCAGTAACCTGTCCTATAGCCCAGTGGCTGAAAGTTTGAATCACACTGGAATCATCTGGGGATCCTTAAACGTGCTGATGCCTGGCTCCTCCCCTCCAGGTGTTCTGATGTAATTGATCTGGGGAATAAGCAGACATTGGGAGTCCTAGGAGCTCCCAAGTGATTCTAATGTGTGGTCAAACCAGGGAACCATAGGAAGCCCCTTCTATTCAGGGATTTCACTGACTTATTAGGCAGCAGGCAGCAAGGGAGCTCATAGGTCACCATCAGGCCGAGATTTTTCTTTTGGATGCCTGTTCTGCAGTCTGGATTTGTCCTAATGTGTCCTACTGAGAGTTTAGAATCCTAAACACCTGCTTTTTATGGAATATGCCTCTGGCAGATGTCTGGGGAGCAGAAGCACCCCATGATTTTTGCTGACTTCCTTCTCTGTGTAGAGGCTGTGCTGGGGTGGGGGTAGTGAAAGACTCAGGCCTGGTCCTTGCCCTTTTTACACTCACACAGGGGTCCTTGACTTCTGAGTTCTCTCCTTAGAAGTCAAGAGGAGGAAAGAGGAAGGGAGCAAAGCGTGACTGGGCCCCTGCCTCCTGATCAGAGCTTTCCTGTGGATATGATGTGAAAGCAGGTGAGAAAGACCTGTCATCCCCACTCACAGATGAGGAGTATGAACCTCTGACAGGTTCAAAGACTTGCCTAGGCTCTCACCGGTCATGAGTAATAAAATGGGAGTGAAACCTGCTCTGTCTGCTCTCCAAGCCTCTGCTGTGGCAGGGAGGAGACAGGTGGCAGATAGCAGGAGGTGTGATTCCAGAGAGGCAAGCAGGGCTGGGGGCTGGGGTTACTGTCTGGGGAACAGACTGGGTCCAGGGTCACCTTAGTGCTCTCTCTGCTTCTTCTCTCCTCTTGGGTTCCCCAAAGCAGGAGGTAGCTCTGGGTGTTTGGGGCAATGAAGGGTTATGAACAAGTGTTTCGTCTCCTGGGGTCCAGCATAGGGATCTATGTGTCTAGAGTTTTCAGTGCCTGACAGGGAAACGGCCTCTGACCTCACTTTCTTTGATTGTGGAGTAGTCAGATGGGTGTCAGTGATCAGTGAGAGAGGAAATAGCATCCTCAAGATCAGCCTCAGAGATTTGGCAGTTGCATCTGAAGGTACCTAGGAGGTCAGGGTCATGTCAGGACCTGGGACCACCATGTGATGAAAATGGCCAGGTAGAAGGCTCCCATCATTGTGGAGGGCTTTGATGCCAAGCTACAGCAATCTAGCTTCAGTGGGGGAGTCAGGAACAGTGTTCAGAGGATAGAGTCTCTGTGTCACTCAGTCTCACTTTCCCCATCTGTAGAATAGGAGGTGCTGTACATAATTGTCAAGGCAAGTGCAAAGCGGAGACTTATAGTGAGGGTACCCCATCTTCCCATCCATCCATCTACACATTCACCCATCCACCAATTCATTTTCCCATCCATCCATCTATCTATCCCACATCCATCTATCCATCCATCCAACCATCCATCCATCCATCCATCCATCCATCCACCCACCCACCCACCTATCTATTCATCTGTCTATGCTCCCATCCATCCATCCATCCATTCATCCATCCATTCATCCACTCACTCACCCATTCATTCTCCTATCTTCCCATCATCCTCCACCCATCCATCCATCTGTCCACCCATGCTTCCTTCCATGCACCCATTATTCTTAGGAGCTCCTTTGGTGACCCAGCTCTGAGCAGATACTTGCATAGAGATTAGTCAAAAATTTTCCTGCTTCCACGGACTCTCAGTCCCAGTGGGCAGTCCAGTCCTGTGTATAAAGAGGCCATTGTTAGTTTATTCTGGGCCACTGGGGCAGATTTCAGAGAGGAGACACTTTTTGAGCTGGTTGGAGGTAAGAGTGAGAGTTTGCCAGGTGGGTAAGTGGGGGCAGCATCTCAGGCACAGGGACGGGCAAAGGCCTAATGTGGTGTGGGCTACTTAGGGCCTTCTGGCTCTGTGTTGGGGCTGAAATTTGGCAGCAGCTACAGCTAAAACTGTGCTTGGGGGTTTCTGAGCTGCGGTACAACATGCTAAGAGACGCTGCTTTAGGGAGCAGAGTCTGGTTGACTCAGAGAAGGCAAGGAGAGGCAGTGGGCATAAGGGGGCAGGCCGAGGCAGGGGACAGGGCTGCTGGGGAGGCTGACATGCTGGTCTGTCCCATGATCCCCAAGAGAATGTGCCCCTCCTCCCCCATTCAGCTTCTATCTCTCTCCTTTTGTGGGACAGGAGGCCTGTTCTTTGCCCAGATATGGAGCAGACAGGAGTGCCCAGCCTGGCCCTGTCATTCCCCATTCAGCTCCTGTGGAAGAAGTGATGCTGTCATTTGCATTTCAAAACCCGTATCTCCCTGCATCGTCCCTTAATAAGAGCCAATTACACCTCTGCCCCAAACCGCAGGTTGTCTGCCTGTCATTGGACTTTTATCCTGTTTGGGGTGGGGAAGAACTGCTACCTTAAATGTCACATTTAGCATATGCAAATGAAGAGATAATTGTCCTTAATGGAAAATGAACTCACCTGCTTGCTGTGAGCTCCAGACAAAAGCAGGCATTGATGAAACGGGCACCAGGGTGGACCTGGGATCTGTGGTTCCATCCCTGCCTTAGCCAGGGGCCCAGCTGGCCTGGTCTATTTCCACCCGTTGCGAAGATGACAGTCCAGGGATCTTTGCCAGTTGGAAGGTAACACATTGAAAGGTTGTTCCTCCATTTGACAGATGGGGACACTGAGGCCTGGAGGATGGGAGGGATTGGCCCAATGTCACAGGCTGAGTCGAACTTCTTAGGGGAAGCTGAGAGTAGACGTCTACTGCAGCCCGTTCTGGGGAAGTGAGAGTGCTCGAGAGCAGACGGTTTGCCGATTAGACAGACAGGAATCACGAGCCAGCCCTGGGATCTAGCGCTTGCTGGGAGCACATATTTTTAGTAGATAATAATTTCCAGTCTGGGTGTTGTGCTTGGATATCTGGAAGCTGAGGGAAGAGGGCTGGAGAGGATGGGGGCTTTGGAGACCATCTCAGCCATGTCTCCAGGGGGCATAATCCTCCCTACTCCTGGTTTTGTTTCTTTCAAAACACAAGAAAAGTGGAATGCATTCAGAGGGAGTGAGTCCTCTGTCACTGGCAGTGTGCAAGCAACAGGGGAGGGTCCTCTGAGTGCATAGTGATCCAAAGAGTGGAGATTCCTGCGAGGAGAGAAGATTTCTTTGAGAATGAGCTCTCCATATTGGCTATGGCAGAGCCTCTACTCATTGGCTTTGAGCTGACCATAGGATGAGAAATTTCAGGAGCCCTAGGCCTGGCTGGGACTTGGAGATTTGGACCTGCTCTGAGACTTAATGTCTCTGCCTTGTTCTTTAATTCCAGAGGCAGGATTTTGGACACTTCCTCATGCCTGAGTTCCCTCCTGGTTCTTGCCTGGCCTTGGGGTCCTGCCCCTGCCTCCTGAGGAAGTGGTGGAGTTTGAAAACCTGCATTCAAGTCCTAGCATGTCCAGTTGAACATGACCTTTATACTCTGGGATCCTTGGCTCTGTCACAAGGAGAGTGGATGTCTGTGATACCTGCCTCCTCACAGTTTTGTTCCACCAGGGCTCAGCAGATGCCTGGTACATGGGAGGGACTTGGTGGAGATTTGCTTTAAGATGCACTGGCTCTGTCCCCTTCTCCTTGCCTATGGAGGGTCCTGACGCTTGCTGCAGCTACCCAGGTGCTCCGTGCTCTGCCCACCTTCTGCTCAGCTGCCTCCTGCTGGGTCTCCCAGATGGGCAGCTCAGCCCAGCCCCTCACTGCTGGCTGACCCAGGAATGCCATGACCTTGAAGAGGAGGCACTGGGAACCTCTGGCTCTCTTTCCCCAGGTGTTCTGATGGGTCTCAGAGAGGATAAGGAACTTACCCAAGGTCACACTGTGAGGTCAGGGGTCAGCTGGCCTGTCCCCAGCTTTGAAGGCCTAAGTGCTTCTGATGTCAGAGTGGGATACATCCCTGTGGGACATGGAGGGCTCAGCTGCTCCAAGATGAGGCCATATCTGGTAGCCCTGGATGGCATTGGCC